CAGCCTTTGCAGGTAAACATTCTGGCATAAGTTGTGCGCATAAGTTATTCATCCAGTTACAGAGTAAATTCTAAAATAAAGTGTCATTCAAATTACAACAAGTTTAAACCTCACATCCTTTTAATAAAATGGGGAGCATAAACAGCAGCAGAAAAGCAAGTGTGTCGTCGTATGTACAACGAGTATTTATTCACAACTCTGTGGCAAGCATCCAAAGAGACAGATAAAAATAAACGCCTCCACTTCATTTGCTACACCCCACGGCTAACACCACATGATTATAGCAAGATGCTATTCCTTCCACTACAATTTGGCCCATTCTTCGCACACCCAAGTACAAAAATTTTGCTCGTCTTGACAATCCCACAGAAGCGACAAATTCACATTATTGTTTTGCACTGGAAGTGAAGTCAAAATGAAGTTTGCACACTGGACAAATTTTGCGCAGAATGGAGTTGGTCAATTGCACAAATTTAAATATGCACAAATTACCAGGAAAGAAAAAACAATCAAATACGCAAAAATTTGACTTTTCGTCAATAAAACTGCTTTATTATTTAAAAAATCTTAAATCACAAAGTAAAAAATTTACGTAGCTTCGTGTCTTATCGAGCTGCACAAGAAATGAGTTAGTTTACCGATGATCCCACTGAAGGACATCTTGTAAATAAGAAAAACGTCAAAATTACATGCACAAGTATGCACACTCGAATACTCATTGCGACAAATGACCGTGGTTAAGTTGCAAAGCTCAAGCTCAGTTTTGTTTTATTTTATCGCATCATCCTACATATTTATTCGACGTTGCTGCAGTATTGTCATTCCATTTCCAGTTCAATTGCAAAAACTAAAGATGTACGCACGCATATGCCTCATTTCAATCGAATCAAGTATGCAAATTTTGCGACTATACCCAGTAAAACAAGAGCGCTCAAGTAGTTGGAAATACATATTTCTCAATGCAAGAATCCAAATGGTAATGGTAAGTGGGGGGTTGAGAGATTTGTTGAAACTGTTCCATATCTGCTGTAAATATGCACATTCCACTGCAGCAAATGGGGGTATAAGTACCTCGGCTGATGTTGTTAGTTTACTACGGCGGTACGACGTACGTTCCTACGTCTGTTATGAAGGTTGAACTATATCGCATACATAAAATAAAATAAAGACCGCTACGTATGATGACGATGGGATGGAGAAACTAAAAACCAACATATTGCGTGAATGGAGATCATTTCCCTCTCTTGTCCGTTACGTTACTTTCATTTCGAAATTGTGCAAAGGTTAAATTTCTCATGCAGCAATGTTTTAGACAGAAAAAGAGTGAAATTCAATGTCATATTCAAATTATACGGGTTTTAATTCCACGGCTAAACTAAAAACAACATATTTATTTACTTGTTACTTACTTACTTACCCTCCTCCGTCAACCCTCACCTTTCTCAAACCACGCGTGTTTGATCACTTTGGCCCGAAATTACCAAACTATCAAAGTAACTGAGTGAAAGTGGGAATGAGAAGTGAAGAGTTATGAGGATAAAAATGGTCTTTTTTTATCTATCATACTCTCAGCGTGAGTTGATAGCCTCCTGAGAACCATAACATAGAAATAATGGCCACTCATATGAACACTGTCTCCTTTCTCTACACAGTTTTTGTATTGTCACACTATTCTCTCCCACACACAATAATCTGCCCGAGAAGCATCTGGGTAGCGTCATATCGAGGAGGGAAAAAGTGGGAAAAGCAACCAACAAGCCGTTGCATGTTTACTATCTTTCGCTGCTTTCTCCAACTTTCTCCACCGGTATCCAGACAGACTTTTTCTCCCTAAACAAACTTTCCCCTACGCAATCCGGGGGCAGGACCTTGCATTTACATCGAGTCACGACAATAAAAGAAAATAGCTACATAGAGTTGCATGCACGCAGAAACGTGTATGTACATACGTATCCCACCATGCAACCATGTCCACTGCAGACAAAATATGAAAGTTTGTTGTTTGTCCATGCTCACAGATAATGGAATAATGCAGTATCTTCTCTCTTTTTTTATAAATAATCAATGAGCCTGTAACAACTCTCGACGTATTCAAACGACCATGCATCAGCACATATCGCAAGAATAATAACAATGCGCCCATATCACAATTGAAATCTCGACGGCACGTAAAGAGAAAGAATGGGCAGTCAGTCTTCTCCTCTTTTTTGAGATAGATACCAAGGAGCCATTTTAGACTAAAAGTGCGTGGAATTGAGACATTAGATTGAGACTTGAATTGTAAGTGTGCCTTTTATTAGATTAAATGACCAACGTTTAATGGCTGTGCTATCCCAACTCTGGAAATTTATGGCGACCTTTGCCTCATACAATGAAGTTTTTCAAGTACTATAAGTGGTTCGACTTGCCAGCAAATGATTCCTATGATGAACGGGTAGTTAGCTATGTACGGTAAAAAAAGCTCGTATAAGGACTAGAGGAACTCATGAAAAAACATTTTCGACCTATTTCACCAAGTTTTTTAAGCAAAAGTTCAAAGTTCTCTGGAACGAGATTTCATTTCATTTTCACAACGAGGACAAAGTGAGTGAGACGACGCGAGACAGAAATGATTTTGGTTATTAATTTGAATGGACTAATGAGGTTGTCGAGAAGAGTGTATGAAAAATTTGGGGGAATTATCATTTACTTTACTTGCACCACTACGACTGCCACCCACGAGTAGTACGAAATAAAGAGAAAAAAGCAATAAGTTGCCAGCAGCCTTGTGAGAAAGTGCTTGAAAACTGCAGACTTTGCTACAACTGAACCGCATCGTCCGTTAACTGACTTCATTACATATGAGTCCTTCGACGCAATAAGACATCTTTTTTGCCGTTTGTACAGACACGTATATTTTTTCACTAAATCATGAAAGAACGACTGGAGTAAAAGTGGAACAGAAGAAAAATCGGGCAACTTTTTAACCGGGTGGAATATTCTATCCTTTGAAATTTTGGAAGGGGAAATGTATCTCTGTAATGCTTTCAATTGAGGCTGGTTAACTTTTACATGGGTTCAATTAAATAAATAGCGGCGTGTTAAAAACAACAGTGCTTTTTTATGCTTAAATTTTTATGTACTTTTAAGTGTGTACTTGCTGTCTGGTTTGTTAATTATTTCCCTATCCTTACCAGCTTCAGATTGTAATTCAACTTTCTCCAAAATTGGCACCAGAGTAAATTCTGGAACTAATAATTCAATCAATACTTCTGTTATAAAATGGGAAGAGGCAGATGATGCTGGGTCTGACTGGATGGATGCATCTTTCTTTCATTTATTAGTAAATTCTTGCTGAAACAAATCAAGTTGTCTTCTGCTGGTCGCATGCTGCATCCAAGTAAAGATTAAGGAAAACTTTTTGTTCCGTATTTGCTGTTGCAATCCATTCACTATCAGAATCAGGATCAACAGAAAGTCTCAACAAAAACAGTTGAAACTTGTTCTTCTTCGTGCTTTCCTCTTCTGGTGGGTTTTGAATGTTCAAAATTAGAAAATTTAGTAATCTTGTCATTTATCTCTGTCGCGTTTGTTTCTCTTGTCTCTCGTGTTTCTCACCAAGTCGTCGTAGGAGAAGGACTAGGTCAACATTCCAACCCGACGGCAAGTAACATTTTATACGTTTCGACAATAAGTCCTTGCGTAAGAATCTTTCTCTTTCTTGGACAAATAAATCTTTAAATGTCTCAACTAAATTTTTATGTACCGATGGAAATCCATCATTGATGGCAAGACGGGCTTCTTAAGTACATTGCTTTTACTGGGATTAGTTTTTTTATTTGAAGATAAGATTTAAAATATTTACAAGCTTGGTCTTTTTAAAAATAGAGATTAAATATCTTGTACTTACTAATAATTTTCAGATATTTTCCTCATTTTATCCAATAAGATGCCCTGGGAAAGGCGTAATTCGAGGGTTGGCGTATGTATCTATGAAATACGTCGTCTTTACCCCTACTTAATACCAATACTTCCCTTGTGTATTCTTGTAGCGTTTCCAAAATTCATCATCTCATCGTCATACAGCAAACTCGAGAAAAGAGAAATGTTGGCTGGTCTGCTGCAGCGTTACTAAAGTTTTCGGAGGAATGCAGGCAGCCATCAAGTTCAAAATTGTGTAAGAAGAAGGCAAGCTGTCGAGGGAGCCAAACCCAGCACAAGCAGAGAAATGATTTTCTCTTCCGGATGACAAAATTCGATCCTTTCTGTATTGTAGTGGATGTGGTTGGTTGTTGCAATTTGACAATGACAATGCCTTGATATAAAATATAAATATGGAAATGGCAAGTGTGCTGTGGCTTAGTCGTATATTTCATTCAGCATTAATTCTCACACAGAGTTTCGTCGTCGTCGTCAAATGAGTAAAATCTACAATCCGTTCTTAATCTAATCAAACAAGTGGAGTGTGACGTTCCATTATCTGAAACTAACCTAATCTCGTTCTCACTTTGCACTCGTTCTTCGTAGGAGGAATACGTGTGTGATAATATTTCATTTCACTGCATCTTCTTCTCACACACATTCAAAACAAAGCGGCACGATTCATTTCTCTCGTCTAGAAATAAGTATGTATGAGGGCACGATATGCAATTTATTAATTTAAAATTCATAATGTGCTGCAACACAATGAGGGTATTCATTATTTCTTCGTATCCTTAGTATTCTTTGTATCGTAAAATAACTTACGACGCTTACGAGATTTTGTAAGCGTCGTAAGATTTTCTCATCGAAAATCACGTTACTACGCTTACGATTTTTACTAAACCTGACCCCTTGTTTTTTCTTCGTAAACTATTTTACGATACTACGGATACGAAGAAATAATGAATACCCTCAATGATGATTTTGTAGGATCTGACTCCGTTGAGTTTTGTCATTCGCGTTGGTAAATGTAAATAAACTAGGAAGGCTTACAAATATTTTTGTCTAGAGAGAGAGAACCCAGAAAAGTCTCAACTTACCGATTCGTATGGTCTCAGGGAGTGCATCTGTCTGGTGAAAGTGGAGAGAAAGTTGGGAGAAAATGAGGACCAGTCCAAGGGGCAAGGAGAGACGTTTCATTGTTCTTCCACGATTTTGCTCTTCACCACTACTCTCACCACCACTTCTACCACGGCCACAGCCACCACTTTTCATTCGCATGGTCACAAAGATAAATGTTCAATCAAACCGGAGCTAGGGAAGCCAAATAACGGCTACAAATTAAGACTCATCAAAGGTTCCAAAACTTTAATTAGGTACGAACGACTGACAGACTGTGAAGTCGGTTGCTTTGTTGGAAACTGACTGTACAAGTGTCCTCTTGTATATTCTCGGCAGCTTTTGTATGGTGAAAGTCACTAATTCATTTCTTTCTGTTTTCTCATCTAGTGTTTCTTCATTTGAACGAATTACTCACTGTTTGAAAGGATGAGTGAGGAGATGACTTGAACAATTGTGGTTTGGTTGCTTTGTGGACAGTATAATTATCTAATTGGAATAGTTGGTGACGTTTTTCGTTCACATTCCTAATGAGTAAAATGTACTTGGGAAGTTGACATTAGAACGCTTCCCGAATCACGTGTTTACTTTGCAGTTATTGTTTTCACTGAAAATTTATGTCCAAGAATTTGTTAACAATATTCTCGGACGTTTCTCTCTAGGCGTTGTTGAGTTAGTGCTGAAGATTGTGTTTCTCGTGTTTATGGAGGTTGTCTTACAGTTACGCAACTTCGTGATCTTTTTACACCCGCCACCCACAGTAGAATCAAGGAATAAACTGCAGGGATTCGAAATGACACGAACAACGAGGAACGGGCCAATTGCTACTGCTGCTGTATTGCCAGAGGAGGAAAAGTCAAAAGTCAAGAACAGTTGGTCCAAGTCTCCGTCACTGTTGGCGTTGGCTTACTTTATGACATGCTTTTCTTGTTCTCCTAGTGGGGCACGATATCCCTCCTGACGACGATGGAACGTATAAGCGGAGAGGAAAATTGGTTTCGTTCCGCGTACAAAAGTGTGGTTGAACTGACTGACTTCACTTAACTAAGACATAAGATCTCATGCAGCAGGAGCACACACACAGCAACGCTTTGCGAGGAGAGGTTTGGGTCGAATTCTTCTTCATCCCTTGCTTCCTCGTCTCTTACCCGGGTAGCAGAACGGGAAGAAGCATAGCTATCTCGCAGTGTGGTTGGTTCACTGTTCTGAAATTCTGAGCCCGAACCCCGAAAAGAGAGAACTGCGAAAGTGCCATTCCTATGTCATCGGCATGAGCATGATTAGGGATGCCAACGGGATATGATCTTTTTGTCCTGATTTGAGGCGGGTTCATCTTGTCCCGATAATAATATAATGATCTTGACATTCAACGAAAGCATATTCTAGTTATTTTGTTGAGGAGTTGCGTCGCGTCATATATGAATTTTTAATTGTAAAAATTCAAACAGAGTTATAAAATTTTCGAAACGATTTTCAGAATTCTCAATTTCCAAGTATCGTAACCAATACATCAATTGTTATACATAATGTGATACGTACATTCCATGTTTATCAGCGCGACAAGGTCGATTCGGCCACACCCCCTTCGTATCAAAAGGTTACATGCAGCTCACCCCACCCCAAAATGTCAAAACCTGAAATGACTTTCTAAATTCAGTAGAGCAAGCCCGAGTTTTAAATCCCGTCCCATCTCGTGGGAAGCCCTAGCCTGAAAATTCACTATTATCCAATCCTCCACCACTGTAAAAGAGCGAGACCAAGCCTAACATCCTGAGAATCTCAATCTCGCCAAATTCGCTACTACTCTTCTACTTGTAAAGCAAACCGAAATGTATTCTCAACAGCTTTATACTTTAGGAAAAAAAGTGCATTCAGCTCGCACACACCGGGAGATAGTTATTCTCCTCTTATCACGTTGTATGTAGTACAACAGGAAGGAGAAAAATGTGAATGTGAATTTGCTCTGCCATCATACATTCAAAATATGCATGCCTACCATTTGTAAAAATAACCGAGAGGGCACACAACAACTGCTGAGATTTGTCATCACATTACGCGTGTGTGCTTATTGCTCGCACTAGGAACTCTTTTGAATATTTATAAACATGGAGCAAAAACACGTGTGTACAATATTCAAGTTTTTTTATCAAGAATTCAGAAATTCAAGAATGTCTCTACTACTATTCAAAACGGAACGCTTAGCAAAAATATATGTGTGAGATAGGTCTTGTCAACGCTTTGTACGTATAAATCTCCACGGACGACGAGACGACCTCACCACTTTTGGACTTGCCTGACCGAGATTTTGAGTATGGAGAGTACAAGAACTTATTATTCTTCGGCATGAAAGTTTAGTGCGAAATGAGAAAATTGGGAATTGTGGTCCAGATGTTCACTCCGGAAGCTAAGGGGGGGAAGAACTTCTTCGTGATACCACCGCAAGACCCAAATGTACTTATCGTCTCTTAAAAGTTGGGCTGGATTCCTCTTTAGCCTTTTCTGTACGTTCATGCACTGCAGTTGGATGCCGGTGCGCACTGATATGTTGCATAACACGGCTTATATTGGACAATCAATGTTCATAGGAAAATTATACATCGCTCTGGAGAAAAGATTCTCCAATTTTCAACCGACAAGCGAAATGAATGCAGATGACCACCGCCAAAATATACGACGATGTGAATCGCCAACGACGACGGATCCGTATCTTGGTGTTCGCCACCACCCATGTTTTACAATTATTGGCAGAGCCCGTATCCACTTACCGTCGGTACGGGCTCTGCTACAGAGTCGAGTTTTGCGAAAGGTTTTACTTCCTTCCTGCAGTAAATTTGAAATTCAAAACATTGTTTAAAGGACTTAATTCTAAATTGGAGATAAAACGGATGGAGTAGAAGAAATAAGGGAGGAATTCGATGAGCAGAGTTTTGCTCGAGACTCGTTCAGCATCAGAGGTGGTGCATGGAAATAAATGTCCAACATTTGCATGCCATCAAAATCCCTGTGAATTTCTGTGGTCCATGTTCATCTTTAATTTAGTTGTGTGCTGAAATTTGGATTGCGATTCTACTTGATTTCTACTCCGTTTAATGACTGGATTTTGAAGTCATCATGAGACGGAAACACATTCCATTTTTGCACGATAGTTAGTATTTTTTGGCAAATGTTCTTACTGAAGTATGTTATGTAACATGCTAGAATTGAAAAAAAATATTGTCTTTCGAATTTTTAAAACTTTTGAAACTTTTTGTCCAAATTAGATTTTGGTTTGTCAAACGTCAGCAAAATAGACAGAGTTTCGAAGTGACTATAACTTTTCAAAGACAAGAAAAATCATGGCAGCACACTCTTTTTTTCCGGTCGTCGAAATGTCATTAGGCTTTCAAACCTCGTTGTATTATTGCCGAAGAAAGTTTATTTGTCCGATTTTTTGTACATTCTTTTTGACACAAGTTGATGCGCAACGACCACAAGTTTGATCACGAAGAATTGTGCATAACTAATTGTCACAACCGTAAATCAAAAATTTGTATGGGTCAATTAATTAAGAAAGCTCAGAAAGCTAGTTTGAACAATTATTATGCATTTTTTTTAGACCTGTGATGCATACATATATATTTTGTGGGAAAAGCATAATTTCTGCAAAAACCCGACACGAGTGAAAGCACTGTCAAATTAGATACGTAATTTCAGTTTTGTGCCTTATATAATTCCTACAAAATCACCCAAATTTCGGTCTCACTTACTTATTTTGTCATTTCGCTTTCACCACCATCAATAATGTGGTACGATCATATTTTTCATTCTGTATCAACTCACACTCAACTCCATCCCTACGCTGCAGCTGCCACGCTTTTGCTAAAACGAAATATGATCATCTTCACTCATGCAGTATATATAGTAACACGATATTACTGTTCATTTGATCCTGTGCACATTATCATGCGCAAATTCATGCAAATATTATTGTACATACTCTGCCGACATAAAACACCATTTTGTACGACTAATCTATAAAACTCATTTTTCAAATTTTAGTACCAATTTTAAAAAGCAATAAGGTTCTCCTAAAATGATTCCTTTGAACAGATGACAAATTTCGCCGGAACACTACAACTTTAATGGAATGAAACTTAATGAAATTCATTGATGTAAGTTTGATAAGGTTTAATGTTTCTCGAGCATAAATTTCCCTTCTACATGAATATAATAATTTACTGCTGTAGTCATCTTTTTTGCACAAACTGGCGATATGAATTTTTTCCCCAAATTCAAAAATAAACATAACTTTTCTGAAAAGAGTAATAAATCCGAGCAGTGTATAACAACTTTCTGACCGAAAGACAAACACAATTGGAGACAATTTTAACATTTTAGCACAGGAAGGACCCTCGTTATATCTAAAATTGTCTGGTGAAAGTTACGATAACACGAGACGGAAACATTACAGCCAACAACCTCCTCTGAGACTGAAATAAAAATTCACTTTCGGTCCGTCGATTGAGCATTGTATCCTCCTTCTCCTCGCATCATCATCCCGTCGTCAATCTGGGCAAGAAAAAGCCCAATCTGGCCCAGAGAGCGGCTCATATTAGGCGACTAACGCGTAGCTTTCTCCAGCTTTCTCTTTCCTTCGAAAGAGTTGTGGGGCAGAGCTGATAGCTCACAGCGTCATCCTTCTTCCCTTCTCGTGCGGGTCCCATGTCAGCCCTGGTTTTACAAAGGAAGCGAGAAACGACAAGGCAACGTGATGTGGGAAGTTGTAACATCTTCCGCTGGCTGGAGTGTATCATTTCTACGTCTATCATAAATACGCAATAACAGGATTACGATCACGGGATGATGGTAAGTTTACATTGACAAGTGCGGTTAAGAATTTGGTAAGAAAACATAAATATTGTCATATGAGTCAGTATTTAAGATTGAAAAAATAGATGCATTTAAATAATCAGTTCATTTTTCGACCGAAAAATTATAACTCCTGAATTTTAGATATATTGTAAATGATTGATTATTGATTTAGTCTAACGTGTTAATATACTCGTAACGTTGTGGTTATTGAGTGAGATTTTCTAACTTTCACTTCACCAAGAAATGACACCTTCTCGTGAAATGATGATGTGCTGCAGGGAAAGTTCAAGCTGAATGAAATGTGTTCACTTTCACCTACAAATGTCAAGTGGGAACATGCTTTGAGCCTTCATTTTGACATTTTGAACTGCACTTGAATTTCACAAAGCTACCAAACCAAGTACCATACGTAGTAGTGAGTGGGTTCATTCCAGTTCATGGCGTGAACGTGAAAGAAGGTATAAGTGACAAGGTGAGACTCCTACACATCCACAATCTGCCTGAAATGTGAGAATAAAAAGAAATCCGAGTTTACTATTCCGTGTGTGCCATCACGACCCGGTCTGACTGACTTGTCTGTTTGATGATATAATAAGTTGAATCTATTCCACGGAACTATGCAATTTGGATACCGAAGTGACGTAATACGCGTTAAGACCTGCATACTAAACATAATCTGCTTACCACAGCATTTCAGAAATAGTGGATGCACATCTAATAATAAAGTTATTACCAAACTTTTCTCATTTTTTGAGCAAAATAATCATTTGATGAATAATCCGATATTGAAATTTTTTGCAAAGTGTGCCCCTTAATAGTTCCCATTTTAAAAGTATTATGCATATATTTCTTCCAAACTCGGTTACAAACGCAAAAAGCGATATTATTTGAACTTGGTTTGACGGACAAGATCCGAAGAAATGGACGCGCTTGCATCGCATCTGTCTTCCAGCATGCATAATGAACTACCAGTCCTTTTATTCCATCTATAAAGAGAAAATCCAGATTTGATCTCCCCGACTTACCCCATTTATTCCATGCATGACAATATCAATATCAGTACCGCCGCCGCGATGGGAGACGAGATCAGATGACTCTGAGATTTGAGTATTCACAAGATATCCATCCATCCATCCATCTGAGAGCTGACTTTCGATATTTTCTCCTCCTTCGGATGAGCAACGGACCAAGTACTCTTTTATTATTCCCTTCAAAAGACAGCTACCAAACTACATATCTCCGTATCCGAATGGGGCAGAAGAATGAGCAACGTCCGTATTG